GATGGAACACTGACATCACCTCACAGCGCAAATTCCATGAATGATCTCCAGCCATCCCCAGTCACTCTGAGGCCTCTGCCTCTCAGTGATTCCTTTTTTTTCCCCTAGGCCCTGGGACTGGCTCTAGGTTCCAGGCTCTCGCCTCTGGGTGTGAGTCCTGGAATTTGCCCATTTGGCTCTAAGCTTTAGGTGCTGCCTGTGATACAGGTTTTAAGCCCAGAATTTGGGGATCTAGACTCTGGGATCTGGGCTCAGAGTTCCAATTTTGAAACTGGATAATTAAGGGGAGAAGGGATATTGTCATGGAGCTTGGAGGACTTTGTCTTCCTCTTCATCACAAGGGAAGGAGTTGAAATTTTATTTTCTTTGTCGAGAGAGGACAGTATCTCCAGTAGATGTGTTTTTTCCTTTCTGCTCCTGAGATGAGATACAGTCCCCTTCCTTTCCCATCACCAGGACAGCATGACACTTGGGCAAACCAGGACCCTAGAGGCCCTGGCTTCTGGGAACTGTTTTTCAGAGACATAAAGTCTGCCTTTCTCTTGACTGGTGCCTGCCTGAGGCTCATTCTGGAGCCTTTGTAGGCTCTGGCCTTCTGTCTTTCAACTCACTTGTCATTTCACAAAAGTCTCAGGTGAGTTTAAACCTACTTGTGTCTCCTAGATATGTGCACAAGAACTGTGTTTCTGCCTACAATTCTGTCTGTGCCTCTGTGTGGTTGTCAGTTTCTCTCATGTCTCCGAATCTTTGAGAGAATCTGCCACACATGTCTGTCTATATGTCTGCGTGCTTGAGTATTTGCTGCAATTTATATGGCCTATGATGGAGAAGTTTAAGACCAAAAAAAAAATCACCGTATTTTATTTTCATGTAAGTTTCTAAAAAAAGAGTATCATTCTCTGAAATGCTCTTGTGTCCCCACAGACAATTCCAGACAGGGCTTCCAGAGGCTGCGTTAGCAGTGAAAGACTCATAATGATCCCATGGCAGTGCTGAGAGCTTGCCTCTGTTCTGTCCCACACACAGATTCATAGCCGTGATATTCTCAGTGTCACAGAAAAGGTGAGACCTTGACGGTCTGGGACATCAGGCCTGAAGGAAGGGGCATGAAAATGGCATTGAGTGGCAGTTCAGCAGATGCTGGAATTCTCCCTCCAGCATTCCCTTTCAAGGGTTATTTAGTCTGCTTGGACATCTCTACTGACCAGAGGATTACTAGTCCATTGTGCAGCTTGCACTCAGGAAATCCATCTTTACAAGAGCCCCAGACTGTCTCGCTGTCATTTCTACCCATCAACTCACCATCTCTCACACCTGCCCCTGCCCACCCCTACTGCAGGCTCTTCTTCTCAAAACAAAGCATCACTGGTTTCTTTGATGCTCTTTCAATGACTAGATCCCTCTGCCTTTGACTGTGTCCCAGTTGGTTTAACTGTAATCTAGAGTATGAAACCTAGACAGAGCTGAATGTGCTTCAGTTACGGCTCTGAGCAGGATGTTCATGCTTTCATGAACTCACGGTTTCTTTAGAGCCTCTTTATGTTAGATTCACATGAAGTGCTGGGCGGGCAAGGATAGAGAGGGCACGAGTCTGACTCTAACAAAGCTCAAAGGATTTTTAGAGTGACTTTCTTAACCCAGAGGCAGATACATAAACATAATTCTAATGAAGTAAGAAAAGTTTGTAGAAAATATTTTAAAGTTACAGCTGAGAATGTCATTATTTCCACTTAAATAGAGTGAGGAAAAGCTGCAGATAAAATAAAAGGTTTGAGTATGAATAATAGTAGGAGTTTAAAAAGAACTAATGAGGAAGAGAAAGACAATGTAAGTGGGGGGAACAAAGGGGAAACATAGAACTGTGAATGTCTATTTCAAGACATGTCATCTTCTGAATAGAATATCTCTTTTAACAGAGCCTAAAACTCATTAATTTTTTATAAGCTGCACAACAGGCTGTTGACTGATACTAGATTTCCTGTCTCTGAGACAGCGCAAGGGGAGGACTCAAGGTGAAGAAATTCAAAATCAGGTCCTTTGAGAAGCTAAAGGAATTTAGGATAGGTGATCTGAAGAAGAGATTGCAAGACACCATGACCAAAATCTCCAGCTACAACTAATTCATCAATTATTTATTAAGTATCTGCTACATGCAGGACCCTGTGCTACTATACTACAAGGTATCTAGTGATCAAAAATGAAAAAAAAACAGAGGCAGTCAATACCCTCCCTACTTTGATGGAGTTCCAATCTAATAGGGCATATAGGCATTAAAGAAATAATTACATGTAAATATGTGCTTAGAAATTAAGATGTATTCTGCAAGAAAATTAGAGCTACCATGGAGAGCGGTATTCCAGTGACACCTGAGTCAGATTGTCGTGTCTCTGAGTCTGCAGCATTGTAGACACTGTGGAGGACACAGGTTTAAGGCCAGGGTAAGAAAGCACTTTATGTCCAGACAGGGGCTTTAGGAGCAATGAGCTTCCCGTCGCTGAGAGTGCTCAAGCTGAGTGGGGATGACAGTTTGGTAAGGATGCTGCGGAGAGGATTCTCTCTCAGTGGGACTCTGACTTCAGGTCTTAGAGAGTCTCTCATGTTGGCAACTGAATCAATGGACTTTTGAGCAGGGTCACCTTAGAAGGTCACCGAACAACTAGTCTCTTCCACCTGACCCCCAGTCTGCTTAGAAGACAGAACATAATATCTGTCCACCATTCTGTCCTTTTCTCTATGAAAATAAATTTGATCATCTTCTCCAGCATCTTGCCATTCTTGTAACTCAGATGGCTCCAGTTTCAGAAGGCTGGTTACTGGATGTCACAGAGAAGGCCTCAGAACTTAATAGCTGGAAGAACTAGGTTCTAGTCCCAGCTTAGCCACTTACTGGTCTAAGGCAAGTCCATAAATATTGTTGGTATGGGACCCAAATGAGGCAGCTTGGCAGTGAGGCAGTTGCTCCTCTGGTTATCATTTCTACCACCCAAAGACTGACTTAATTTCCTGGAGCTGTGCTCTCTTGTGTATGGCCCTTCTCATCCCCCATCCTGCATGTTCCTGCTCGATGACATGGGTCCTGGCTAGTGTTTCCAAGCCTTCATTGTTACTTTCTGCCAAAGACGTGGTTTCACCAGGCACGGGAAGTCTCAGGTGAAGCAGGTCAAGACCCACAGATGAGATGATTAGAGAAAACTTTAAAATGCTCCTACCCAGCCCCTCTCTCCCTTTTGGTGTATCTCCAAGAAGGTGATACATGACACAAGTCTACCTGTGTGGGCACCACATTAGAGTGTTATGAGCAAACCCAGGTTTATTTAGAGGAGCTCTAGGATGCTGAAGAATCTAGAAGGTGATGAAACACAAGGAAATATTTAAGTTCCAGGTCAGGAACGGGGTCGGATGGTTGTCTGAAAATAAAAAAAAGGGAACACTTGGGGAGTGCTTGCAAGTTACATTTTTTGTCTAATAGAACACTGTCACTGTAAAGAGACTGGAATGTCACAAAAAAAGCATTTGGAGTGGTTCTCAACACTGGATTTGCCTCAGGAGCTTTAAAACATATTGATAACTAGATACCACACCCAAAGAGTCTAGTTTAATTGGTATGGGGTATTTTGTGGGTACTGGGATTTTTAAGTTCTCCACTTAGATTTTTAAACCAAGGTTGAGAACCACTGATCTACAAGGCAGGACCAAGAGAAATCAACAGATAAAAGGCACAAACAAGTGTATTTCACCTGTCAGGGAAGTTAGGGAAGTTATTGATCTCAAGGAAAGCATAAGAAATAGAATGAATGGGATTTTAGCAGGGCTGGTACATGAAGAGAGGGCTTGAGATTGAAGAGAGTAAGAAAAGGTAAGCTCTGGGGCCATCTCATTATTACATTGTACGTGTTTCCATGGTTATAGCTCTCTTTATTCCCTTAGCTGTATATTGTTCTATCTGTCCATCCATTCCGCTGGAGCATTCCCATTAGACTCTTCAGACATGTGGACCATTTCACATCAACAGGAGGAGGCCACAGGATAAAGAATTGATAAAGAATCAGGGAATCATATATCCATATCAGTTGAATGAATAAGTGAACTTATGACTGGAGATAATTCAGCTTTCATACCATTTGTGACTGCACCTTGTTTTTTAAAATTCATTTTACAAATGTAATTTATTATATTTCATAATATAATATTAATTATGCTACATACCAGGACAAGAAGAGTCTGAAGATCTAAGCTATAACCTACACTCTGCAGAAACTGATTCGCAGGTTTTTGGCATATTACCCAATCTTCTTCTCCGGGTCTTCATGTCTCCCTAAGAATAAAATAGTTTGCTCAGTGTTTCACATGCCAAACAATATCTTGTTAACCATTATAACAACCATATGAGGCAGACGTATTTTTATCACTAATTTACAAATAGACACACTGAGGCTTGGGAAGGTTAAGTTACCTGCTCAACATCACACTGAGCGTAAACTGTCAATTAAGTTTCAAATTAAGGTTTACCAGAATACATTTGTAGAGCTCTAAAACACTGAGCATATATTAATTTTCCCATTTCTTACAAAGAATATTATTATTATTATTATCTGTCTGCACAAGAAAATAAAAATTTATACTTCGGATCAGAGTATAAATAAGATGCCTACATCACACTTCTAGTATCTGGCTGAGTACAGTTTTTGTCCCAGATCTGATTTAGTCCAGTGTTTCCCTCTTAATTTTTAAGCTATACTGTCTCTCAGAAGATTAGGAAGTCTCAAATATTCCATTTACATGTAAAATTTTGGAATTTTGGAGGTCAGAGGATCAGGAAGTGAGAAGAGATTGTTATGTTTTTGCCCAGATTGATGTAGATGACGCCAACCTCCCCCACCTCCTTTCACCTCCCTCCTTCCATCTTTGAGGTGGGCTGCTATGGCAAAACACCCTTTAGGTGGGAGCTAATTTCATTTTTTTCAAATGACAGGTGAACACTGATCCCTGCTATTGGTGACATGGGAGCTGAAAGCAATGAAAGTCTTGACCTCCAGTCTGTCTTTCTAGCCGGCATCCCGGGACTGGAGGCCCAACATGGCTGGCTTTCCATTCCCTTCTTCACCATGTATATTGTGGCCATTGTGGGCAATAGCCTAATCATGGCAGCAGTGCAGGCAGCCCCTGCCCTGCATGAGCCCATGTACCTGTTCCTCTCCATGTTGGCTGTGACTGAGGTAGGTGTTTCTGTGTCTACTCTGCCCACTGTCATGGGCATCCTTTGGTTTGATGCCCGCCAGGTCGATTTTGACGGCTGCCTGGCTCAGATGTTCTTCATTCACACTTTCTCCTGCATGGAGTCGGGGGTCCTACTGGCCATGAGTTATGACCGATTTATAGCCATCTACAATCCACTGCGCTATACAGCCATCCTGACCCTGCGCTGTATCATCTGCATGGGTTTGGGGATTACAGTGAAGAGTGTGACCTTCATGGCCCCACTTCCAATCCTTTTGAAGCAACTGCCCTATTGCCACACTCATGTCCTCTCCCACTCATACTGTCTCCACTCAGATCTGATCCAGCTGCCGTGTGCTGATACCAAGTTCAACAGCGTCCTGGGCTTGGCCATTGTCCTGGCCACTTTCGGGCTGGACTCACTGCTCATTGTGGTCTCTTATGTGCTGATTCTTTATACAGTGCTGGGCATTGCTTCTGGGGAGGGAAGGTGGAAGGCCCTCAACACATGTGTGTCACATATCTGTGCAGTCCTCTTGTACTATGTGCCTATGATTGGTGTGTCTGTCATGCATCGTGCTGCCAAGCATGCCTCACCCCTGGTCCACACACTCATGTCTAGCATCTACCTCTTTGTGCCTCCTGTACTCAACCCCATCATCTACAGTGTCAAGACCAAGCCAATCCGGCATGGAATCTTCACCTTGTTCTCCTGCAAGAGGGAATTCTTCTGAATCACTTCAACAGGGCAGGGACTTTGAGTCAGTCAAGTCTGATGGCATTTCTGCTCCAGATAAAGGTCTGAACCAGGCATTTTTTTGAAGAAGAATAAGGAGGAATTCAAAGAATTGCTACAGGCTTACCCCTGGATGACAAGAGTTATCCCTAGTCCCTTCCATTTCACAGCTTACCAGCATATGTCTGTCTCTCTATGTGTTTCTGTGTGTGTCTTCTCCAACCATGTATGATCAGCTTGAGGGCAAAGATCATGAATTTCTCTTCCTTTTCCATCAAAACTGCTGGCATGTGCCTGATAAATAGTAAGTTAACAGTAAAGACTTGAGACTTCATGATATTTGAATTGAAATAAAACAAATGTCTGTTTTGATGTGTTAAGAGTATTCCCCAAGAAAGAAAGATCATCGTAGGCACAGACCTTTGAGTAGGATGAGCATGTTTGCTGCTTTGCCCCAGATCACCATGGTTTACATTTACTTTCCCAGCATTACTATCAATAGCACTCCCTAACCCTCTTAAAAATGTCTTTATTTAAATAATAAATTATATGGTAGATGTATCTGTGAAGAAACATCCTTCCTGTCATGTAATTAACCAGATTCTCCCCACAACCCACCATCCAGTGGTCTCTATCCTAAGAATTTATGGACCAAAAGACTCTGAGGTTGACAAACAAATGACTAAATGGCCTCAACTCCGGTGTAAAGTACAATATGGACAACCTCATAATGTCCAGGTTTCAGATCCTACATATCCCAGTAAAAGCACCATATTCTCTTTTAGCAGAATCTTAGAAACTGCAATGAGATAGCACCTCATACCAGCTGGAATGGCTACTGTCTTAAAGACGAGGAATAACAAGTGTTGGCCAGGATGTGGAGAAAAGGCATCCCTCCTACACTGTTGGTGGACATGTAAATTGGCCCAGCCACTATGGAAAGCAGTGTGTGGTTCCTCAAAAACTAAAAACAGAAATACCATACAACCTGGTAATTCCATCTCTGGGAATTTACCTGAAGAAAACAAAATCACTGATTTGAAAAGATTTATGCACCCTTATGTTTACTGTCACGCTATTTACAATAGCCAAGATATGGAAGCAACTGCAGTGTCCATCAGCAGACAAATGGATAAAGAAGATGTGGTACATATAGTACAAATATACAATGGATTATTATTCCGCCATAAAGAAGAAAGAAGTTTTGCCACTTGCGACATCGTGGATAGACCTAGAGGGGATTATGCTAAGTGAAAAAAGCCAGGCAGAGAAAGACAAATACAATCAGATTTCACTTACATGTGGAATCTAAAAAACAAAACAAAACAGAAATAGACTCATAGACACAAAGAAGAGATTGTTGGTTATCACGGTGGAGGGGTTGGGGCAGGTGGGTGAAACAGGTGAAAGGGATAAAGAGGCACAAAATCTCAATTAAAGTATAAACTAGTCATGGAGATTAAAATTATCATGGAGAATATAGTCAGTAATACTGTAATGTCTATGTTGACAGATAGTAACTGCACTTACTGGGGTGAACATTTAATAATGTAGATAACTGTTGAAGCACCTTGTTATATCTTGAAAGCAATATAATATTGTGTATCAACTATACTTCAATAAAAAGTAAAAGAGTTTTAGGCTCTATTTTTAGGGCCAAATAGGTCTGGGGTCACTGGGCCTGGATATTTCTGTTTCCCTTTCCTCCCTTCTCTTCAGCCTTCAGTAACCTTACCATGTCACGGGATGGCTATTTTTTATCTGTCTATTCCTTGACCCCTTCTTTTTCTCAGTCCTGTCAGTAAGGACCTAGTTGGTCCTGCTTGCATCTGCTTGCGGCATCTAGGGTTTCCTGGAAGCCTTTACACAAATGGGAAAGATCATTGTCATGCTCCTAAACAGTTCAGGTCTTCATGACAAGTGGATTGGACTGGCTGACCCCAAGTTTTCAGCCTCTTTCACTTCAGGGGCTCCAGTCACAGGGAAAATGTTTTCCTGACCGTATTCTCTTCTTCCCAACCTGATCCAGCTCATTAGGGTCATTTTTATACAGCAACCTTGTTGAAATAGTCTGTTTAAAACAATACACTAAAAAATCGATTTTTTATGTACTTTCTAAAATAATAAAAATCTAACCATATACCTTTTTGCACATTTTCGGTTTGACATCTAAAATCATCATATGTAGTTGTTGAGCATGAATTTAGGGATATACTCTAAATATAGTGAGTTAAAAAAATTTTATATTGCATCTTTACATATTAAATGGAATCTAAATGCATGATGTTTGATAACTGACATCATGAATTTAAAAGTCACAGGGATGGAAGTATAGCACAGGGAATGTGGCTCATAGTATTACCATATCTTTGTATGGTGACATATAGTAACTACACTTATGGTGATCATTTAGTAATGTATGTAACTGATGAATCACAAAGTTCATCTGAGACTAATATTTCAATTAAAATAATACACAAACATATTAAAATTCAGATATTTTACATCAATTCACTTCCTCATAGAACTCAAGTTTTTATTTTACCTCCATCAAAGTGTTTAGACCATGTAATATATTTTTGTTTGAAATTATTGTAATGTTTTAATTGAAGAACAGTTGATATACAATATTACATTAGTTTCAGGTGTACAGCATAGTGATTCAACAATATATACATTACTAAATGCTTACCATAATAAGCGTAGTTGACATCTGTTATCATACAAAGATATTACAATATTATTGACTATATTCCCTATGCTGTACTTTTATCCCTGTAATTAGTTTATTTTATAATTGGAAGTTTGTACCTCTATTGTTTTAAAGTAATAATTCTTTATGTGCCACTGATTTTTTTTTTTGAGAGGGCATCTCTCATATTTATTGATCAAATGGTTGTTAACAACAATAAAATGCTGTATAGGGGACTCAAAGCACAATCATTCATCAACCCCAAGCCTAATTCTCAACAGTTTCCAATCTTCTGAAGCATAACAAACAAGTTCTTACATGGTGAACAAGTTCTTACATAGTGAATAAGTTCTTACGTGGTGAACAGTGCAAGGGCAGTCATCACAGAAACTTTCGGTTTTGATCATGCATCATAAAATATAAACAATCAAGTCAGATATGATTATTCATTTGATTTTTATACTTGATTTATATGTGAATCCCACATTTCTCCCTTTATTATTATTATT